CAACCAATAGCATGAAGCCCAGTGTATGAAGTGTTGAATGGAAAACTGATTTACTTCCGTAAGTTTCCACCCAGATCACAATAAAGTTTTATGATTTTTCTTTTTTTAAGTTCTTTCTCTTCATTTACAGTACCTGTAAGTTCGTTGTAGTGGTTCATTGTAAAAAAATCAAAATAACTTTACTGTCGGATCTGCACTGAATGCTGCTCTCCCACTTTTTCCACGGCAGTGGTCACTTGGTGGCAAGCAGCTTGTAGATGTTCAACTGCATGTGTTCTTGCCTTGAGGTGAAGGTAGAGTACTTACGAGGAGGAGGACTCTGTTTTATCTGTGTGACACGTTCATGGCGGACCCTCAGTGTAGCGCAGGAATGCAGACGTTGTCGTGCAATGGAAAGGGAGCTCTGTGGATCACCTCCAGATCCTTGGCCTAGTCAACCACTCACTTGGTATTCTTCAACCTGCTTTTGATTTAAGGCCTTATCAAAAACCATTCCTTTAATGTCTGTTTTTTGCTTATTTGTGTGTGTTTCTGGGTTTTGTTTTGTTTGGTTTGTCTTACTGTTTAGGGCTCTTTCTGAAGGTTGTCTCTGCCAATGGTGACCACTTCACAGCTTTTTAAACATACTTCTGTTTTCCCCGGCTTCTTTTACTCAAAGTAGTATTGTGTTCACTGTAATCTCCACCAAGTCTTTTTCTCTTACAATGTTTTCTAATGTATTTTTTTCAGTGATAGTAGTAGAAATTTAGAGCTGAATAATATCCTAGAAATCATATCCCCCCAGTTATATTACAAATCACTTTGTTGTTTATTAAAGGACCACCAGGTTCAGCCATATAAAAGAGCACATGGTTATAAGCATTGCTTAGCTTCAAGGATAATTCTAGTCTAGAACTTGGTGATAGGTAAAGTATGTAATTGTTATTTCATTAGTAACGTTCAATAACTCCTTTCTCTATTTGCCAGACGTGTGTTTTATTTTGTCTACTTTTACACCGGATCTTCATAGGCCCTCTTCTATAGGTTTATTGTTAAGTGTATTACTGATATCCATGCAGAGTTTTAACAGGTTTTGTTCCTCCCATCCATCTGCCTCTTTATGGTAGCTGGGTTCACTGCTGCTCACTTCTTAGTGCCCTGGGTCTTAACAACCTTAGTTAAACAAACATCTTAAATGGGGGCATTAAACAGGTCACAACAGTGAGCCATTTTGTAACATTTGGTGCAATAAAATGGGTGTGTTGTTTTTTAGAATATAAGGCCTCTGAGTACAGCTATTCATTTTCGGCACCTATAAAACATTTCTGAATAACAGCTTACATCTGTTTGGGGTATAACATTGCACATTTTGAAGAAACATCACTGTTATGTAACTCAAACAGGACATGGGGAAAGAGCTGGCTTTCTGACGGGCCAGTACTCTCGGTCTTTGTTGAAACGGGGGAATCTTACTTGCTGGCAGTACTTCGTTCACATGTGTGAAGCAGATTCTCATGTTTTTTTCCCCTATTGTAAATGACCATGAGCATGCAGTATGATTTTGACTTGAAAAATATTTGAAAAATTTTCACACTGCAGGAGCTTATTTTGTGAGGCATAGTTCACTATCAGAAACCAGAAATAAATTTAATTATCTGAGTTTTTACAGCACAGTTAAGTACTTTCAGCTGTCAGCTAATCATTTTTTTAGGGTGAGTGAAGTTGAACTTCCTATCATCGCACTGCAATTATCTGGTCATTTCAACATGTGATTTTAAAACTACTCCTTTAAACTTCAGGGTTAATTTTTCATAGAGGAACATGCATAAAATGCTCATTTAGAGGATTTAAAATCTAAATAGAATTAAGGACAAAATAAGTGCAGGTAACATGCAGCTCAGTTTTATAGGTTATTTTAACCAAGAAATGAATAAAGCTAGCATTAACTATTATAATTTTTAAACTTTTGTTAAACAACTTTATTGGCATATAATTTACATACCATACAATTCATTAGTCCAGAATGTGATATATTGACATTTGGGAAAGGGAAGTACAAAGAATAATATCATATCATCCATAATCTCATTCATTACTCAGTAGTCCTTTTGGGTGCGTTTTACTACACATAATTGTAAATTTGAACAATTTTAGAAAAGCTTTTAAAAACTATTACACAGTTGGTGGTTGGGTTTTGATAATTCAATTCAGTTTCAAAATGGAGTGTGCTGGCTGCTTTTACATTGTGGTGACAGTAGACTAATTTGACCCGTTTCATAGGACTTTTGACATACAAGCTGGGGTGCTGCTTATTTATGAAGATGTCAAATTTCTTACATAGTCCAGGCTATTTGACCCCTTTTCCCAATAGAAGGTGTGCCGACCATTTCCGTGGCCACTGTCAGTATCAAGGTCAGTGTCAAGTCAGAGTCAACATTTGCTAAACTTCACATTTCTGATTAAAGTATTTCAGAAATAATCTGAAGTCTTAGATGCATACAAAGTTGAATATTTGTTAATTCCTTCAAAATTATGGAAGTACCCATAAACATAGGGGTCCTTCAGTGAGATAAACTTGTTAGCACAGTGTCTACCCCGAGAAATATACCTGGTAACATTAGCTCTTACCTATTCAGACGTACTTTGAAAGAAAGGCCTACTTCTCTACTTCCAAAAACACAGCCATTGGGAACATGAGGTTGACTTAGTTGGAGTAGACTCAACAACAACAACTGGTTATTTATATAAATAAGAGCCCTGGTGGCCTAGTGAGTGAACTGTAAGGTCAGCAGTTCAACTCCACCTGCTGTTCCGAGGTGAATGAGGCTGTTTGCTACCACAAAGATTTACAGCCTTGAGAGCCCACAGGGGCAGTTCTCGGCACTGTATGGTCACTATGAGGCTGAGTCCACTTGATGGCAGTGCTTAGTGTTATGTTCTATAAAGTAAGGTAATTATCCTGACCACTCATATTTCCTTAGGACAGGCTTACTCTTCTCTCTGGCACTAAATCGGACCTGTAATCTGACTTCTTCTGTCCATTTAGAGCTCCTACACTCTGCCAGTATTGATCCTCTGCTCTTTCTTCTCTTTTCCCTCCTTCCCCCTTCTTTCTTCCGTCCTCTACTCTCTTCCCCTTCTTCTGCCCCCACTCACCCTCTGCCTTCTCTCTCATCCTCCCTGTCACCCATCCTCCCTCTGTCGCTGTCTCCCTCCTTCCCACCCCTACCTCTTTCTCTCCAGTCTTCCTGCTCCCCCACTCCGCCCGGGCCACACCCGACCTTATTAACTCCCTTTCTCTCTCTCTCCCTCTCTACCCGCAGCTGCATGTGTACAGAGTAGAACTTAGTTAGGCATTTTAGAAGCAAATTGCTAAGCCTGACTTCTGAAGCACTTATGAATAGGTTCAGCCCCCAACCTTTTAGCTAGTAATCGAGTGCTTAACTATTCGTGCCACGTAGAAACTCCACTACTTACTCTCCAGAACAGACAAACAGGCTTACTGCCGTCAAGTTGATGCAGACTCATAGTGACCTTATAGGACAAGGTGGAACTGTCCCTGTGGGTTTCTGAGACCTCCTCTTTTATTTTTAAATTGGGGGCTCTTAACAGCTCTTATCACAATCAATCCATACATATATCCATGTGTCAAACACATGTGTACATATGTTGTCATCATCTTTTTGAAAACATTTTCTACTTGAGCCCCTGGCATCAGCTCCTCATTTTCCCCCCTCCCTCCCTCTTGTCCCCTTGATAATTTATAAATTATTCTTTTTTTTTAATGTCTTACACCGACCGCTTTCTCATTTCACCCACTTTTCTGCTGTCTGCCCCCCGGGTGGGGCGTACATTGATCATTGTGATCGGTTCCCCCTTATTCCCCACCCCCTACCCCCTTTTTAAAATTGTTTACTCTCCCTTCTTTCCCGCCTCCTACTCTTACCCTCCCAGGATCGCTGCTCCCTTACTGGTCCTGAGGGGTTTATCTGCTCTGGATTCCTTGGGTTTCGAGCTCTTATCTGCACCAGTGTACATGCTCTGGTCTAGTCAGATTTGTAAGATAGAATGGGATCATGGTAGTGGGTGAGGAGGAAGCATTAAAGAACTACAAGAAGGTTGTGTATATCGTTGGTGCTATACTGCACCCTAACTGGCTCTTCTCTTCCTTGTGCCCCTTCTGACAGGGGGTGTCCAACTGACTACGGATGGGCTTTGGGTCTCCACTCTGCCCTCCCCCTCACTCTCATAGATATGCTTTTTGTTTGTTTTGTTTTGGGTCTTCGATGCCTGATACCTGATCCCATTGACAATTCATTATCACACAGGCCGGTGTGCTTCTTCCATGTTGCTTCTCAGCTAGATGGCCACTTGTTTATCTTCAAGCCTTTAAGACCCCAGCTCTATATCTTTTGATAGCGGGGCACCATCAGCTTTCCTCACCATATTTTCTTATGCACCCATTTTGGCTTCAGCAATTGTGTCAGGGAAAGTGAGCATCACAGAGTGTCATGTTAGTAGAGCAAATTGTTCTTGCTTTGAGGGAATACCTGAGTGGAGGCCCAATGTCCATCTGCTACCTTAATACTTTATAAATAAATATATGTACATAGGTCTATTCCCCTGTCATTGCATATAAATATATTTACATATATACATGCCTGTATTTGGACTGCTATAAATGTCCAAGACTTACTCTTGATGCCACCAGAGTTTCCATTGCTTATCATAGGAGGTATATATTTTGTCATATCAGTAGCCAGACCCTCTGTATTCTAACTTCCTCATTTCCAATGAGCTTTGAAGTATTATCTTATGTCCCCTTGGACTGAAAAAGTTAGTAGACTCTGTCGACAGTTATAGTTAAGTCCTCTTTTAAGCTTAGCCTACATGTTTGTTTAATAATAGCTTTATGAGATATATGAAATTTTAAAGTACAGTTTCCAGATAATGGAGATTTGTTTAGTAATGCCTGGGTAACTCTGATTATCCCAACGAATTTTTTTCTTCTTTCTCTCCAGATTCCTTTCTCTTTGGTCCAGTTTCCTTTATGGGAATCGTTAAAGGTAAGTTTTTCCATCTTCATATTAAATTCTTTATTATCATCAAAAATTCCTACAGTTTCAGTATTGAATAGTACAAAATAACTGGTTCGCAGTTTAAAAATACTCAGAATCCCTGTTATTAGGTGCTGACAAATTGGTTAGGATGCAGAAACCCTATATAGCGGAATGACATACTGCTCTGTCTAGGAGCCTCCTCACGGTTGTTACATTTCAGCCTGTTGCTGAAGACTGCCAGCCTGTCTCATTGAAGAGCTCCTCCTTTGCATTGCCCTCTGCTTCACCAAGCACGCCGTTCTTTTCCAGGGACTGGTCTCACCTGATAGCATGTCCAAAGGAAGTGGGATGCGTTCCGGCTGTAATTTTTTCAGGACAGATTTGTTTGTTGTGACAGCCCACAGTACCGGCAAATTCTTTGCCAACATGAGAATTCAGATACCTCAATTCTTGTCTTCTTTATTCATTGTCTAACATTCACATGCATATGAGGTGATTGAAAATACCATGGCTGGGGGTCCAGTATGTGTTGCCTTCTTTAGTGTTTTATAAATTATCTCCAGGTTCTAATATCCATTGTAATGGCTACCCCGAACTCACAGGTAAAATTCATACCATATATACTCGAGTATAAGCCAACCCAAATATCAGCCGAGGCACCTAATTTTACCACAAAAACTGCATTTAAAAATGTGCCCACTGTAAAACATGACAAAATAATAATAATTTATAAATTATCAAGGGTTCGCGAGGGAGGGGGGCAGGGAGGGAGGGGGGAATGAGGAGCTGATGCCAAGGGCTCAGGTAGAAGGCAAATGTTTTGAGAATGGTGAGGGCAATAAAAGTACAATGTGCTGACACGATGGATGCATGCTTTGAGATAAGAGTTGTATGAGGGGGAGCGGGGAGGGAGGGGAAAAATGAGGACCTAATGTCGGGGGTTTAAGTGGAGAGAAAATGTTTTGAGAAACGATGTACAAATGCGCTTTACACAATTGATGTGTGTATGGATTGCGATAACAGTTGTATGAGCCCCTAATAAAATGTTAAAAAAAAAAAAAGAGTTGTATGAGCCCCCATAAGAATGATTTAGAAAAGAAAAAAAAATGTGCTGAAAAACTCAGCTTATACACAAGTCTATACGATAATTAAAAACTTTATTAGGTGAAGTTAAAAAGTTGTAATGCCAGTGAAAAATGCTCAGGGTTGAGTTGTTTATTAGGACAGGTTACAAAGTTACAAAGTTTGGTCCTGTCTACTAACCAATGCCCAAAGTGCATACCCATCTGTTGTAAGCTTCAGCCCAAAGGCATTTAGCTAAAGCTCCCTGGGTCAATAAACCCAGCCCCCGGAATTAAGTACCCATAGACCATATCCAAGTACCATATCCAGTAAGCACCCATGCAGAGGAAGGTCATTTGGTGGGAGTTAGAGAATTCGGCTAGCAGAGCCACATTAAATAATTCATTGCCCCTGCAAGGTGAATTTTAGTCCTCAAAGTGACATCCTTGCTTCTTGGCACTTTAAAGAGATCTTGTGAAGCAGCTTTTCCTAATGTAGGATGTTGTTGGATTGAGTTCTTGATTGCTGCTTCTAGAGCATTGATTGCGGACCCTAGTAAAATGAAATCTTTAACAACTTCCAGCCTTTCTCTGTTTAGCATGGTGGTGTGTATTGGTACAGTTTTGGTTTTCTTCCCCTTGAGTTGCCATCCATACTAAAGGCTATATATGTTGTCTTTAATGTTCATCAGGAAGTGTTTCAAGGCTTTCAGCAGCAAGGTGTGTCAACTACATGATCGAGGTTGATATATAGCCTATAGTATATAGTTTACTGGTAAATAAAGGTTAATAAACCTTTCTCTAGTCATGGTGCTTTGTTCTTCTTCATACAGTCAAGCTTCTCTGATTATTTTTAAACAATTTAAAGAGGTAATTTGCAGCAGAATTGCCCAATGTAAAACATTTGACTTCTTGACTGCGGCTTCCGTGAATATTGCTTATGGATCCAATGAAAATGAAGCCCATGACTGCTTCAGCCTTTCCTTCACTTATCATGACATTCTTTACTGGTCCCATGATGAGGATGCTTCTTTTCTTTGATTGAGCTGCTATTCATATGGAAGACCATCATCCTTGGCCTTCATCACTAAGTTCTTCAAGTCCTCTTGGTTTTCAGCAAGGAAGTTTGTATCTATGTATTACAGATTGTTAATACATAATTGTATAACTATATATATGAACTTTTACTTATAATTAGCTTGTTTTAGAAGTATGTAGAAACATATAAAACCATGTTTGCTTTTTTTAGCCATGTATATTTTTCCCTTTAAAAGTTAAGCAAATTATGAAAGTTTATAAAATGTCCTGTAAGGATGTCTGGGCTTTGTATCTTGCCCTAGTGTTCAGCGTCAGTTTGTAGTGCAGAATAGAGGTGTGTTAAGAATGCTGCCACTTGAAGAAACTAGATGGTGCTCAGCTACTAGAAAGAACAGTGTCTGGGAGTCTTAAAGGCTTGTTTTCAAACAAGCAGCCATCCATCTGAGGAGTCAACAAAGTTCACATGAAAGAAGCACACCCGAGTGATCTAAGGATTGTAAATAGTGTAATCCAAATCTAAAGAAGGGAATGGTAGCAGAGCTTAAATTGCAAACACCTGTTTTTCTGTATATAAAATCCAGGATAAGTAAATCTATAGAAACAGTAACTAGATCAGTGGTTCATTTGGGGTATGGCAGGGGAGGTTGTGGGGAAATGAAGAACTAATAATGAGTACAAGAATGAAGAAAATGTTCTAAAAGTGATTTGGTGATGATTGTACAACTACTCTTGATGTGATTGTATGATATTTTAATTATGTGCCCATAAAACTGTGTGGGGAAAAATGCTACTACAGTTCATGTTGTTCTACTGCTGGACATATTACAAAGTTATAACTCAGTAATCTAGACAAAATGCGAGCTATAAACACAGGTACATTTAAAGCAAAATGAAAAGAAAATCAGTCTAGTTATATGACAATATGAAATTATAGTAATGATTTTTTTATAACATCCAATCATAGCTTTTCATTAGAAGTCAGAGAGCAGTGGAATACCCTATCAATTATACTACAGTGTGTAAAGGAATTGGGCTTTTGATTTACAATAGAATTGTAAACTGCCAATAGTTTTTATCCCACTTGACAAGTAAATACCTTGTTTTTTTGTTGTTGATTCGCTTTTTAGTAATAGTGAAAATGCGTACCACTCCACAACACATTCTCTGTTAACGTTCCTGGTGGGTGCTGTCAAGTCGTTTTTCACTGATAGTGCTCCTGTGTACGACAGAATCAAACCCTGCCCAGTCCTGTCATTTTCACACTCATTGCGATGTTTGAGCCCACTGTTGTAGCCAGTGTGGCAATCCATCCAGATGAGAGTCTTATTTTTCAGACTCTCTACCAAGCATAGTGTCCTTCATTCGAGACTGACGCCTCTGGGATATCATGTCCAAACGACCTGTTTTGCCCTCCTTGCTTCTAAGGAATACTCTCACTGTCTTCTAAGATTTGTTCATTCTTCTTGCCTTCCATGATATATTTAATATTCTTTGACAGCACCATAATTGGAAGAAAGATGGGGCTTTCTACCTGTGTACACAGTTGTAGTCTCAGATCCACACAAGGGCAGTTCTACCCTGTCCTGTGTGGTTGCTATGAGTCGGTATCCACTCAAGGGCGCAGTGAGTTTGATTTTTGGAATACCATACATATAAGGCATGAATTTTTCTTTGACATTCCTTATTAATTGTCCACCTTTCACATGCATATGAAGCAATTGAAAATACCATGGCTTGGTTGCCGTTCTCCTTAATCTTCTACCATATTTTTTAGTAATATTTTTTTAAAACACTAATTTAAATAGCCTGCCACTTTCCTGTCAGTTTGTCATATCATGGTGCTTTGCATGTTGCTGTGATATTGGAGCTGTGTCTCTGGTATTTCAAATAACAACAGGGGTCATCCAAGGTGAACTGGTTTTAGCAGATCTTCCAAACAAAGAACAGACTGCAAAGAATAAGTAGGCTGTCCGCTTCTGAGGAATTAGCCACTGGATAGCAGCAGAGAATTGCCAGGCACAGTGATGGTTGGAAGGCACTCACAATGACTGAGAAAGAGCTACCTTTTCAAAGTAGAGCTGGCCAGAATGGCATTCATAGAGTAAAGCTTTCAAGACCTTCATCTGTGGATGGGGCATGACTCAAAATGAGAAGAGACAGCTGCAAACATATTAATAATTCGAACTTGAAATGATTGAAGTATGATTCTAGGAACATTGGACGGCATCAAACATGAAATGCAATGCATACATATTGATATGGTAGGCATTAGTGAGCGATAATGGACTGCTGTGGGCCATTTTGAATTACATAATCCTATTGTTTACGGTGCCAGTAATGAAACAGTCAAGAGGAATGGTGTCACACTCATCCTCAGAAAATGTCTGTGTAAGTCAGAACTATCTTGAAGGCACCTAACAACTGTTTAAAAGATGCTCAATCCTGAGGATAGTATATGATTGTGTTTACACAGACAAGTGCACAGAGTAATTTGAAACGCATTCCAGTTCATACATGCACAAGTTTACTCCAAACAAAACATTTTCAAACACGTGTCTGTAATCAGCGATGGCTAGAGTCAAATTCTCTCAGTAAGACATTTCTCTTAGTCTCATTAAGGTGCCTTCCAAAAAGGGTGTAGAGACTTCTGGAAGATGGTAGACTAGGTAGACATGCTACATAGATCATTCACAACAAAGATGGGCGGGACCAGATGGAACAGATGCAGATGTTAGTCCTGAAACTCTGAACTTCAGGATGGAAAAGTGGATTGGATACTGATGAGGTGAAGAGGTTAAACAAAAGTGGCTAGAGGGCAGACAGGTGACTTATTGGCAACCTGATGCCAATACAGTCCTCTTGAACTGTTGTAAGCAGCATTCCGTTGGGACAGACCTGATAGCTAAG